TACGAGTGCAATCACACGGTGCTGAAAGGGCTGGGCTGTTCCCATGCCATTTCATTCACACAGTGAAAGGAACACTTATAGGTAGAATATAAAGGAAGTCCAATTACATCTCCATGACAACCAAAGGCCAAGACGTTAGATCAATGCAAGGTAGTCATTTAATATGGAGAGTTCCCACTCAAGTCTGTGAATTTCACCGATGGTTTTATATTTACGTGTGACCCGAGGTGAGGTAATGAGTATCTTCTCCGACTGCGCGGACATGAATCAATGAATAGCTCAAAAATGAAGACAGATTGCACAAAAGAGGATCTCTCAGGGGAAGAAAATACTTTATCCTGAGAGTCCTTAGCAGCCGTTTCCTCGGTTTATAATGTGTCGTTTTATCTAGATCCCAATGTAACCGTACTTCCACTGCAGGAAGCGTTTCTTTTTAAGAATCAACACATCTTATTAATAATTCAAAGAGGATGCCTCCCCTAGGCAAATGGGTGAGCTGGAAAACCAACACACAAACCCTACAAGTCTTGCTGACATGACACCAGCGGCGGTGGTCAAGGGGACTTCAGCATTCATGCAGAGAACTATTTCCCTCTGGCTTTCTACAAGGCATCCTGCTTCTCTAGCTGCTGTAGCGCTAGATAATGCTTGTCTGTCTGTCTCCATTCATGGCATATTAATACTGTTTCTATGTCTTGAGAAGGGAGGGGGCGTGGGGCAACAGGAATACTGTGAATGCTTCTCTTCACGGGGAGACTGAAGTAGGCCTAACCCAGGGCCGCGAGGACTCCTGCCCCGAAACAGACCACAGATTATACGTCCCCGGTGCCACATACAACAGCCACAATCCTCTGGACTTCCCTTTCTGAGGGATACTGCTCCCCGCTGCTGTGGTTTGTGTTCCTGTTGGCTTCATTCATGGGCTGGTGAGTTGATGAAAAGACGGAGAGAAGCCGGGGATTACTATTCTGGCTACATCACAGAGGCGAGAGTGACCGCTGTGTCTGTTATTAAGCCTGTAATGATGATTCGGTTCCATCAGGCTGGAGGGATGAAGAAAACTCACTTGTTTCAGAGAGTGAAAGTGGTGAGTCAGTGAAGCCCTGCGTCTGCTGCTCCGTTGTGGGGTTTCTCACGGAGCATGCCAGGGGCCTCTCAAGCGTTCCCACATTGGACACAGAGAGGATGTGGAGGCGCAAAGCATGGCCTCCCCACAAAAGCCACTGTGACCTTGAAGCGTGGTGTGAGGCCAAACGGGCATCTCAAGGGCCACGACAAAACCTGATTCACTCTCACTGCTGCTTTAAGAAACATTAGCAACACAACTGAGTTCTACATCAAACCGGTGGTACTGACCAGAGTGTTTTAGTGTGCTGGTCAAATACCCAGAGATGTATTAATTACACTTTTATTCTGACAGTATTAGACTTTGAGTGCTTAGTAGAACTGCTGGTGTTTATTCCACCTTTAACAATTACAAAGTTTACTTTTTTTGTCTAATGAAATTTAAACAACTACTAAAGCTTAATTCAAAGGGAGTGTGAATATCCTCAATAGTAGCATAACTAAACTCTAATAAAGCTCTGATTTAGGGCTGCCCGGTAGGAAGGAGATATGTGTAAACTCTGTTGAATGTCACGATAGCTGAGTTATATTAAAGTGTACTTAGTTCTGCCTCTCTGCTGCTTTCTGTCAAATTACAATTGCTTATTCAATTGATGGAAAAAAGAGTTCTCAGCATTGAACCATACATAAAATGCACCAGTTAAAAGGTGATAGCTAAATTGTATTTTAATGCAGTTAAAAATCAAACATTTCCTGAGGGCACTGTTGCAGTCTTTGCAGAGGGCTTTATGTATTTTATTGATATTATTACATAGGATGATTACCAATGTATTCATCCGTAAGTAGCAGTTGGCTGGTATTTCATTCCTTTATGTTTGAATAAGCTGTTGGGTAGTGCTGAGATTTGTTCATATAAAATGTCAGAATTATAAAAGTATAAAAAGTAAGCAAAAGGCAGAATATATGGTTTATGGAGTGAAAGCAGCATTATATATTAGGTTCATTCCCGTGCCACAGTTTATATCTTTACTTGATTCATTTAGGTCCTGTAACAATGGGAACCCAAAGTCAAGGTTCTCATATCAGAAGTGACCACCCAGTCCCTCCTCTTCCTCTGGAAGATAAGAAGAAGCCCATCCAAGATGAAGAGGCAACTATCTGAGACTTCACAGGAGTGTCGTGAGAATGCGTCTCCAAAATCCTCCACGCCCGTCTTTAGCTGGTGCGTTCAAATACTCCGTAGCATTGCAACACGCTCTCCGGACACTTTTTTTCCCACAGTGGGGCAAGAAGGCCGATGCCAAGGGCAAATCTAAATATTTATAACTTCGCCTCTCAACTGGTTTTGAATGTGACCTGGATTTGACCTCGGCCAATAAGGCACTGTTTTAAAAAGTGCATCAATATTTTTCTCTGGGTGGAAAAACTGATTGAAATACAAAAACATGATGTGATTGAAAGTGTCATTTTGTTCATAACTCCTGCTTGTATTTCAGCCAAAGCCACAAATCCATTACTTAGGGCCATTATCCCATATCCTTGTGACAGAAAAGCCCCCCCCTCCCACTAAAATAAACTCTAATAAAAAGGCAAGAGCCGTGAGTTTAAAGGACCTGGATCAGATGTGAGCTTCAGATCACAAGAACCTCACACATCTAAAATATTTAAAATCCCACCATGTCTTTGAAGCACACGGAAATTAAATAAAGTATAATGAATATCAATCACAGCCACGGTAAACCAGAAACATCAATCACCCCACATCAGGAGGATGTAAAACAAATGTTTACTCAGTAGTTTGAAGGGATTACATAATTACAACTCCGCATCTACTTTGGGAAGAACAAAGCGGGGTGACTGATGATGAAGTCGACCGAATCAGTTGAGATTTTTCTATGAGAGGTGAGTCGTCAAACAGGTTAATTTCCTGCATTGTGAAATATATGTCATGGAGGCCAAACGACATACAACATGTAGCTGAAATCAGGCTCCATAATGCCTCATAATCCTCTAAATGCAGCTGTGTTGATCCTGTTAGGGGCAGAATTACAGTGCTCTTCCACGGTAAAATACGTCGGCCAACAGGTGGAAACAAAAATATATGTCTCTACCGCCCCACCCAAAACGCCAACTCATAATATTGTGTCAGCACTCGGAAATTGTGAAATTTCAAAAAAACTCCCACCCATCGAAACTATACTTCATTTCAAGCTATTCTTATTTTTAGAAACTAGGCCGATCATGAAAGTGTGGCGTTAGGATCACTCAGGCTCCTCTGCTAAAACACTTTCCGGATCCCAAGACAGAAATAACTCCTTTCTCTTAAAATAGGCTGAAGATATGGACAGAGCGAGCAGGGTGATAACAGCTCTGCCTTTTTTCTTCTCTCAATCCAACTTTTTGGAGCTGTGGCTGTTCGTCAACCAGAGATGGTTCAACAGCATTCTGGGAAACGTGTCCAGGCCTGACAAGCAGAGGTCAAGGAAGGCCTGCTGGTGCACAGAGAGCGGCGGCGTTGAGGTTTCGCAGGAGGTGCAGCTTGAGTTTTGCACTTCGATGGTCCTGAACATGACACAGCCACCTCACTGAAGTGGAAAAGCGTGTTGTGGAAAGGCACAGATACGAGGGCTGGTGGATATGTGCTGCAGCTTGGTGAATGGGTCCAAACGTGATGAGTCAAGCTCCAGGCAGACATAGCAAAGCCTTTGTCAGAAACATCAAGCCACGCTCTGCCATGCCTCCTCTAGATGGATGATGCTCTGACTTTGACACTTTTTATTACCAGGTGCAACGTTTTTGTAGTTGATACTTGGCTCAAATGGGCAGGCAGCTCAGTCCATAGGGACATGGCTTGGGAACCAAGTAGGGAGTGTGTGGACCAGTACTGGGAGAGATGCCAGTTTGCCTTCTGGACACTGCAGAAGTGCCCTTGAGCAAGCCTACAGATCCTAACACCACTCCCCAAGGTTTATATAAAATAAATCACCAACCTCTTCATACTAGAATGGGTCAAATGCAGAGTTTTATTTCACTGTGTTCATTTCTGACAGTTAAATGTTGATTCAGCTGCCAAAATGAAGGAGTCAATGAGGAATTCATCCTACTTTATTGACCCAATTGTCATCATTTCCAAGCCATTAAAATGAAGTTAAAGCTGATGCCCAATAGGTAAAAACTATGTAATAAAAAAAAAACTCCCACAATATTGTAATGGTATGCTCGGTTACACCCAACATGCAGAAGGAGAGGAGAACATTAATCATTACAAACAACTTTGGGAGAGGAGACTCTTCAGAGGGAGAGAGACTCCATGTCAGAGTGCAGAAGAAGAAGAAACACAAAGCAGCCGCTGTGATTTGACAGAGCATACATGTTAATGTTAGGCCGACCTAATTCCTGTTGTGAAGCCCCCCTCCTGCTCCCAAACCCACCAGCCTGCTCCCCACCCTCTCTGGACGTGTAATAACAAAGCGTTGATCAATAAAGTGTACTTTCCAGTGAGGCAGGACAAACCTGGACCCCCTCTTTGTTCCACTGCCAGCGCAAACATCATCCGTGTTGGCTCAAACAGAGTAACAACCTCTGACTTCTTCTCTAATGTTGTCGCACTCATCACCAAGCCCCCTTTTCTTGAGAGCCCCCTTCGCCCCAAAAAAAAAGAAAAAATCCCTCCCTGCCTCCAAGCTACTTCTGAAATGTTCAAGCGTCACAAAGAGGTTTACAAGTATTAAACACAGCCCTGCTCATTACCTAAGCTGCAGGTTTATCTCCACTGTGATACAGGTATCATGTAATGTATCCTGCTGTGAGGCTAAACTCGGGGGACAAAGTGCTTGTTTGTGGGTGACACAATTGTTACAGCTATAGGGAACATGCTGCTACAGCTACATTGTAACAAGTGTGATTCGGGCTTTTTGCAAAACAAGAAAACTCACCACAACTCCTGTAGCACCCAGAGGAAACCCGAGGAGGGGGTTAAAAAAAAACAGCAAAGCCAAGTAGGAATGTATCCTTTCTTTCTCTTCCACGTTTTTTTCAACCCCGGCCCCTGTCTCCACACCCCAGGAACCAGAGAGTGTGAGCGGGGTGGGGGGACCTGGGTGATAGCAGAGCACGATCTGGGACGCACAACCAACACTTCGCACTCAGTTTATCCGATAAATCCTCCAGGAAAGGACGTCAGCCCCACGAAAAAAGTCCTCGATTCGACCTAACTTCTCGTCCCTGCGGAGTGTTACTTTCTTGGCCTTCCTGGGTGTTGAATCCCACGGTTTATCCGCTGTATCCGGGCGCGTCGGCCGACTATTCTAGTCCGCCATGTTGTGTGTCTGTCTGCATAGGAAGAATGGGAAGCGAGCAGCAAATTCCCAGGCCAGCCCCGTCTCTTCTGCTCCTGATCCCGCAGCCCGCAGCGCCCCCTGCTGGCCGGGCCGGAGCTCACACACTGACACTGCAGAGGGCTAATAAAAAAAAACCTTCATGTCATTTTTGTTTCTTTAAAGGTCACCTATTATGCAAAATCCACTTTTTCATGTCTTTTATACATAAACATGTGTCCCCTCTGTGTAAAGAGATTCTGAAAGTGTCAGGACAAAAGATTCGCTCACTTTTTGTCCTGATCCATTTATATAAAAACCTGTCTGAAATCTGTTTTAGGCTTACGTAACCATTAGCCAATAACCAACCAAGGTAACCCCCCCCCCCCCCCCCCCCCCACCTTATCACCTGAATCTCCTCCTAGAGCAACATTGTGTTCTTTTTCACCAAATATCTCTCAGAGGGGCGTGGGGAGTGGCACCTTATTTTCATCTAAAGTAAAAGACAGAGAATCAGCACTTTTGAAACAGAGGGTTTTATGGGATGCTACAATGCATGATCTGCATTTCTATATATCTGAGACCTATTATATATTGATGAAAAACAGTATAATAGGGGACCTTTAAATATAAGATTGTCTTTATTGTTTTCTGAATCTGACAGTGGTGGAAGACGTATTCAGATGCTTTACTTGAGTAAAAGTAACAATACATTATTGTCATAATACACAAATAAGCATTAAATGTAAATACTCATGTAAAGTACAAGTACTTCAACATTTTAATCAAGTACAGTACTTGAGTAAATGTACTTCTGGAATCTGACACATTTAAATAGTATGTTGATGTTCATTAATACAGTATCTGTACTACTGGATTGATGGATGCGTAAAGTAGAAAGGGACAGTAGTGACATGACATGTTTTAAAAGTGGAGGGGGTCCATGGTAACAATGTGTGACATTTAAAAATAAATGATGACAGCTGAAGGTTTTTATAAAGTTTGTTGCGAACAACAAATATCAGGTTCAGAAATAAAACCCAAGTTACTGAGAAAAAGGGTTATCAGAAAACTGAAAATATAACAGCGCATTAATAAAACATATTGTTGGTTTAATAATTAAGATGAAGTGAACAATCTAATATTAATCTTTATGCTTTAGCTATTTATATTGAGCTTGGTATAACATTTAAGCTTTGAAATTAAATACATTTTTTATTATGTGACTAACAGTACCATTTACAGATGTATTCAGTTATATTTTTGTAATTGTTTTATCAAAATTCAATACACTTTGTCAATAGCGAATGGGGCTTGATTTACATACAGGAAAGGTCCTTTACCTTAAAAGCCAATCGAAATAGATCATTTTAATGGTGAAGTTTTACTACCATGACAGACATTTTGTAAGCCCGTACATGTTAATATCTCAATCTTTGATCATATCTAACTGAAGACCTTTGGGTATTGAATTGCTTGTTGGACAAAAAAAGCAATATTAAATCCAAACCAATTATTAATTAATCAAACCATGATGAAGAATAATCATTAATTGCATCTCTAGACTATATGTACAAAGTGAAACCCTGTGCAAACATTGTGTTCAGGTTCATCTCCACATAATCCTTTGTTCACAGCTCTGGATCATATTTCAGCCTGCACAAAGCAAGTATTTTTATAGATTCTGCAGTCCACCTGACGTGCATATGTTTGGAAACAGAGATATGGCTTAGATACGGGCTCCTCATGCTGCGTGCCAAGTGAGCCACAAGCCGCCATGATTAACTTAACTTATACTACTAAATACTACATCAGCCTTGTATTTACATTCACGCAAAGATTTTGCACACATGATGTTATATCTCATTTATTATTCATATCTCATCATAAATGAAGAAGCAATAGAGCTAAAACCTGAAGTAAATAAATAATGTACACCATGTGTTGACCACTGGTTAATGTCCCGACATTAAACCATTAAGAAAAATAGTAGAGCATCTTGCCAGAGAACAGTATATTAAGTATAAGGAACATAACTTGTTCGCATAAAAGAAATAAGGTTCATCCCACATTTTGCATTAGATGTCATGGTTAATATGCTACACGCAAAATACAGATTATTGATGTTATAGCTGCACATTTCACCTGCATTTCACGGTGTTTAATATGGAAAATGTGGGTTAACTGTTCCTGGAAAAAACTGTGTGCGTAGATCAGTCAAAAGAGGAGTTTAACAGGATGTAAATAAAAAGCCTTGTGTGCGTCTCAGCAGCTGACAGATTTGCCAACACAGCGCTTTACACTGCCATGTTAGCAATGACAGCCCTGGTGAACTCGTCGCTCGAGGCGTAGCCCCCCAGGTCCCCGGTGCGCACCTGTTGCAAACATAAAGACACTTTGTTACTATATGCACAGCTGCAGAAACACATGTTCACATACAGCGTCACCGCCTGCCTGTTAGAGAGCCTTTAAAAACAGCACCCAAGAGGACTGCTTTTAGAAATCAGCAGTATCGCCCATGAGATTATTTATGTTCTCATTTTTTTTATAATTAGCAGCATTAATTGAGGCTAACAATCTACATATATCAGTCGCTTAAATTACATCTTTAAATCAGATGAAGTATCAATGTTCAGAAACAGTTGTCCATGGTCCAACAACCATTCTTATTATTTAGTATTCAACCATAGTTATGTCATTCAAGGTCCAAAAGTGTTATTTATTTAATCACACTTTTAACAAGCTTTAATATGCAGGCATGACATCTCCTTAAAGGATTATTAAACAAAATGGACACTTATTTTAATAGACCAAAAATAAAGAAGGACAAGACGACGCTGTTAACACTAGTGGTAGTATACATTATTCAGAAAGTAGAAACATTTGAGTGCACCCAAATTCAAATAAAGAGTGCAGTGAGTAATACGTTATCTTTTATTGTTTTGAAATCTTGGCACATTTTGACGAAAACATGGACCGCTGGTGAGGTAGAGCAGCGTTTAAATGTCTTACAGCTTGACCGGCATCAACCATCTGATACAAAACTTGTTTATGAGACCTTGGAAATAATGTTTAAATAAAACAGAACAAAGAAATAATGAAATTAAGCAAATAATCTTCAGTATATTTTGTTTTATATTTGATGTTGAATTCAGGACTGGCTTTACGGGCACTGTGGCCGTCACACAGAGGTTTTCTTTAGCTATTAACCTGTACAATTATAACAATACCTCAAATGTTTTAACAATACCTAAACGTTTGTTGACAGTCAATGAAGTAGTACCTGAAAGTACTGTATTTTTTGTTTAATTGATATTAACATAGCAATTGTATTATTAATCTCAAGGTAAAACACATATGACGGGTTTGGCCTTGCCTAACAGTAACTTACTAAACCAAAATGTAGATGTTAGTTTACAGCAATGCAATGTTAGAACAGAGTTTTATTGAAAACACGAAGACATTTGTGGGTCAGAAATGTTACAGTATAAGTGGGTCATGATGCAGTACTGTTATCATTCTGTATATCAGGTCACAGCGGATATTATGAGAACATTTGATAAAACTAAGGTCATTCGGTGGTGAAGTATGACGAAAATAAAGATTAGTCGATATAATCTGTAAATAAAGGCAGCCGGGTTGACCGTTTCTAACAATGTATGATAGTGGAGAGGTAGGCTGAAATGGAGGCGTGTGGTGCAGTGGGTTGCGTGTTGGTGTGCGGATCAGGGGGTCACAGGTTCAAAACCCACTGTAGTCAGCATGTCGTTGTGTCCCTGGGCAAGACACTTCACCCCAAATTGCTCCTGTGGGGATTGCCCACAGTATTGAGTATATAAGTCGCTTTGGATAAAAGCATTGAACAAGTGACATGTAATGTAAAATGGCTGACGCAACAAGCACAAGGACAAAAACACTCTCAGAAGAATGTAAACATGAAAATAATTATATAGATATAATGATCCAAATCCATGAGAGGAAGCCTCATGAGCTGCACACACAGTTTAATCCTCATACAGTATGATGCTCCTGGTGTTTGTCAAAAACTGTGTGACACTATGTCATGTCAGAGGGGAGATGCGTCTACTTCATGTTAAGAACAATGTCCAGATTTAGGGAAGCAGTGTGGCGATACATCTTATCGAACAGGTCGGTGACGCAGGTTTTCCGTAACAACACGCACAAAGTCGCTAGTGGTTGCGTAACCGCCAAGGTCTCGGGTCCGGACCTGGGACGTGCAAGTGCGCACACACACACACACACACAGACGAACAGACACAGGGTATTGGGGTAGAAGGAGAGGGAATTAAAGGATAGGTAAGAGGGAGAGGAAGGGCACTTCAGACAACGTGCAGGGAAATTCTGCCTTCAAACGACAAACAATTTCTCACAATCACAATGTTTCCTCAAATATAATGCTAACCCCATTCAAAGAACTGCTTTTACAAACTTTTTGAGAAGAACTATGAAGTGAAGTTATTGCTGAAATGCGATTTAGAGCCGATTGACCAAGCGATAAATCGGAGAGATTAAGGTTTACGGATGTCATGCTGGTGTTTGTTACAGGTTAGTGTCACTGTGGAGCAAGAGCAACAGGCAGTTGCCTGGGAGAGATGAGTTGTTGGTAATTCAGTGCATCAGAAAAGAGCTAAAATAAGATGACATGAATACATTTTTAAAGTCAGTTATCAAAGGCTCTCTAACATACTAACTCATAGTTCGCAGGTTGTTAAATGAAGTCATATGTGGGTCAAGAACTGCTAAAATTACACTTAAAGTGTTGGTGTTATTGCTGATATTCAACTGATTTTTTAAGATTTAGTTAAAAAAATGTTTATTCCAGAGGGGAAATGAATCCCTTTATTCCTAACTCTAGGAACAAGCCCCTCCTACCAGTCCAAACTCTGTATTTTGAACCAATCGGGATGAACCAGCGACCCTTTGGTTCCCAAGCCTTGTCCCTACAGACTGAGCTATTGAGCTCCCCCAAAAATATATCACATAAATGTGACATTGCTCTTTTAAATTATATTTCATTGTTTATTTTCCTAACCACCTGCTTTTTAATAACACACATATGAGATTAGTTATTGACCCACAAAACTGACAAGCAACATGACCATTTAGAAAGACATTCTGAGGGTAAACAAGGTTATCTTCACATTTCTAAAGAAGAAGCACCTTTTCATTTGCTCTCTCATTCCCTGATAATAGTGTTAGTTTTGTCCTAGCTGGTGTGTCTCTCTCTCACTCACACACCAACTTACCTTGCCCTGCTTGATGACCCTCTTGACAGCATCTGACACCATATTGGAGTGATATTCCAGGCTGCATTAAAAAAAAAAACAGGGACAAAGAGGGAGGTTTGCTGATGTTCTTGTACACATGTCAACATTCAGACCTAGTCACACCTAGGGTAAGCCATTCATTTAGGAATCATTTGAGTAATATTTGTTGACACCATCTTTTAATCCTGACAGCATTAAAAGTGTTGCTGTTGTTACTTTTAATAAGCCTGTCCAATTATTTGTGCATTAAATTATTGGATGGCATTTGTACCGCTTCTCATCACCACTAAAAACTCATGGTTCAGTACCATCACAAAATAAAGTCTGCAATACTAAACTTAAATAATTAAAAAAGTTGGCATAGAATGCTTTGGTAATGTGAAAAAGCGCAGGCCTAAAGGAAGGTGCTGGGATTTATTTAGTTGGATAATTAATCTAGCTAACTTTTGCTTGCTGGTTTTTCTCAAGCTTCTGCTTTAAGGCTGTCTAAAGATACATTTTTCAATAGAGAGAGCAGTGCAACCTGACCTGATTAGGCGGAAGCGCTACCCTCTGCCTCACATACGGCTCAGATTGTCGGTGAGTTAAAATTATTTCAACTTTGACCTTGTTTGCCGCTGACCTTTGACGCGCAGCCAATAAGATGACAGCTGTATGAAGGAGTACAAGCTAACAAGGGAGGAAACTACAGAAATTAAACTAGCGGTTTAAGCCAGTTGTGTATCATGAGAAGGCAGCTTAAGGCTTGAATGTGGACCAGGACCGAGGATTAGGAGGTGTGGTGGGAAATGTGTTGTACTTCTGAAAACACAACATAAACATTTGACTCACTTGAGGTGCCTGAGCATGTTAGCAGCACTGAGCAGCATGGCTGTGGGGTTAGCAATGTTCCTTCCTACAGCCTGTGCAAAGGGGTGGCGCGCACCCTGAAAGAAAACAGACAGCCACAAGACGTCTCCATCACCAAGTGACACAGAAAGGTTGAGTTGAACCAATAGTTAGACTATGTCAATAGATATAGCTATTTTTTTTAACTGCAACAATACCATTTACTGCCATGCATTCTCATTTAACGTATGAATCACATTAAAAAACAATATGAATTTTTAAACTTACGGTCTCAAACACAGCATACTCTCCACTGTAGCTTTCTCCAGGAACAACTCCCGCTCCACCAACCAGCCCCGCTGCCAGGTTATCAATGATGTTCCCATACAGGTTGGGCATCACCAGCACGTCAAACTGGTACGGGTTCTGCACCAGCTGCAGTACGGTAAGAGACAATGAGAAGTTTAAACAAGAAATTGAAAAGGGACACTTAAACAAGCCAATTATTTAAAGATTAAGTTGGAGGAATTCATTGAGAGGCTGTATGTACCTGCATGCAACAGTTATCAATGATTATGGTCTCAAATTTGATTTTGGGGTACAGCTCTGCAATCTCAGCACAGCACTGCAGAAACAGGCCATCAGCTAGTTTCCTGTAATAAGACAGGACATGAGGACAAATCAATTCGATTTTAGGAACAAATAAAGGAATATGAGTTTTTCTGAAGCAAACAAGGAGCTGTGCTGAACCCTTACATGATGTTGGCCTTGTGAACAGCGGTGACCTTGCTACGTCCCTTCTTGGTGGCGTAATCGAAGGCGAACTTGGCAATGCGCCGAGACTTCACTCTGGTGATGATCTTCAAGCATTCGATCACACCCGGCACACTCTGCAGAGCAAGGAGAGGGTACCCACATTTTAATACAGCCATTCTTATTCAAGCATTGACACAACAACAGGGCCAAATAAAGAAAATACATTACAAGCATTTTTCACTTGTCCATCTCTTTTCATTTGCACAACAGATTCATTTTGATCTTAATGTACATGTAGTGGTTTGTTTTACTGCAAATAGTTTCTTTAGTCTTAAGGTCCATTAAGTGGACAGGGAAGACAAGGTGTAAGTGGTCCCACTACTAACAAACTCTTGAAACCGAGTCTGTAGGACAGACAAAAAGTCATTATATAAAATGACATGAACACTATGCCCCCCTATGAGTGAGAAGTAGTTAGGAATAACTTGAATCAAAGACACTGACATTTCTGCACCTCTGACAGTGAGTCATATCTGTTGTTATACTTGTTTAATGCTGACCAAATCTCTCTGTGCTCAAGGGAAAACTCCCTCACCAAAGACAAAAAAAACAACTTTTATTTTTCATTGAAACCACTGTCTTTCCTGAACTGACTGCAGGGAGCAGGGGTGTTGTTTACCTCGTGCTCCAGGGAGCTGTACTCGCCCTCGGTCTGTTCGCGGATGATGACCAGGTCCAGGTTGTTGTGGCGGGTGCTGTAGCCCGGCAGGCTGTTCACATGCACCACGTTAGCAAACAAGTCCAGCTTACGCCTGGGGAACGGAACAAATAAAATCAGGAAGGAAACACATAAACACACACAAATGCCTAATTTGATTCCTAGTTTTACCTCAGTCTCATCTCATATGAAGCCAGCTCCCCTTTGAACTCCATGGGTGTGTGGATTACTCCTGGAGCAAGAATGTGTGTTAGGTTGATTTAATTATCTTTAAAATCAACTGATATTGTGTAGCTGAACTATGACAGAAGACAGAAAAGCATAGCTACCTTTCATGGCCACTTTGTTGATCTTCAGGGAGGTTAAAACCTGCTCGAGCTTCTCCTCGCTGGCCATGTTCTGCACCTCACTCAGGCGAAACTCCTCAAACTCCACCGGGACATCTCCTGCCTGGGAACAAGTCAGAAAAGAAAATCCACTTCAACATCATTTCCATCAAACTTATAAAGGCAGAATGAGCCTAAACTGAGCAGAGTGGGCAGACAGACAGACAGACAGACATAATATAAATTGTAGTACAATATATACATTTTTAGTTTAGCTTATTATGTACAGATAAACATGTTTATTCTATTTTATTTAACTTTTATTGGACATCTTACTTATGTTTACATAAAAGTTTTATTAGATTTTATTTAACCTTTTAATTGCAAATTCTTACTTTAATTCCTTATATAAATATTTGTATTCTGATTTTATGGCAGCTGTAAAAAAAAAAAAAAATGTTCCCTGGCATAATTAAAGGACACCTATCATGCTATATTTAAATGATATATTGTAGGGCCATACCTATATAAGGTATATTTATACGTTTCTGTTTTCAAAATACCAAACAGATCATGCATTTTAGCCATGCCTCATTTCGCTCTATGTGCTGTTCTCCAGCACTGTTTTTGCAGGGGGCTGATTCTGTGAGCTTCAGCTGACCACACCCCCCTGCAGGAGAGGGGAGCCGCTCTGATCAAGTCAGAAGAGGGGGAGAAAAATAGATCTCCGTCCTACGTGTTTTATTATAGCCTATTATTATATAGAGTCGTTATTCATTTGTTTTAAAGCTCAATAAATAACAAAGAAGACCTTTGACCGGCACTTTTCAAATTTTGTCCGGAAGATTTAAACTTTAACGGACATCTTGACCGGCAAAAGAAAACCTAACTGAAACTCTGCCGCACGGTCCCCTCGTTCCTTGGAAGAGGCGGAGAGGTGGGTGTTTGTCATCTGCTGGTGGACTAAGCGGAGAGAATTACAGTGCTTGCCTCGACGGGGAGGGATTGCATTGAATTAAAGCAGCGGGAGCAAACGCTTGCCTCGGGGAGGGAGAAAGAAAGCCACAGGCAGCGGAGAATAAACAGAAGGGTAACCATGGTAACCATGCGCGGGAAGTCTTCTTCACTGCTTTTGTGGCAGACTACAGCGCCACTTACAGGCCTGGTATATGTACTACAGCGTCTCCAGCGCTTTCGAGCGGCAATGGCCGGCCGTGGCCCAACCCCACATTCCCCTGATAGGTGGAGAGTTGGCCCAATAGCCGTAGCGCCACCGTCCTGACGTCAGGACAGTGTTCAAATCTGGATCAGTTTTTATCAGATCCGTTGCAGCCCCTTTTTTTAGAGATTTGGGTATGGAGGAAAATAGAGAGGGTTGTGTTTTCTGACACTTGGTGAGTTCCCTGGAACACCGGGGACACATATTCATGTATAAAAGATGTACAAAAGTGCATTTTGCATGATAGGTCCCCTTTAAAGTATTTTGATTCTGATGTTTGCAAAAACAATCTGCTACTTGTTAGTAACAAATACAATACATTTCATTGTACCTTAAACACGTCCTTGACAGCCGTCATCAGCTCAGGTCCCACTCCATCCCCTGGCAACATGGTGACCTTAAAGGTGGCATCAGCGCGGGCCGGGGGGGCCTCGGGGCCACAGAGAGCAGCAGACACACTCAGTGGACGAGAGGCCAGCAGCTGCCACTGGGGGCCGCTCAGACCCTGGGGGGGGGGAGAAGACACAGTTACTAAAAGGCTGGTATACCATTAAAACAATATGATATTACCCAGACATAAAGTAATAGCTGTCCCTTTAATATCTCTGGTAATAATAATGATTACCAACTTTTTTGAGTTGGTAATCATCAACTCAAAAAAGTTGAGACCCCTACTTTAATACAAGAATGTTTTTATTTATTTACTTTCATTTCCTATAATCCTATCTTGACCCCTTGGATTAATCTTGAGCGATGAAATGTAAACCACAGTATGGCAGCCAATGTCAGATATCAAATTGGCCTGATTAGCCGAAAAACAGACAATCCTAGTGTCCAGTTAATTTATTCAAAGAGTTTATTGCTTTTCCAGAAAATGATATAGATCCCGATATGTACTGATATTGCAATTTAACGTTAAATACTGTTATAATTTGATAAAGGGTTTTAATGACAGCGAACACTGTTAGCCACAAGTGTACCCATCTGATTAGATAACATCGAGGCGGGCAGAGATTTTTTTTTTGTATCTCTCCAAACATGTTTCTGGAGGATCGATTCTTCAATGACAGTCAGCCATTTACCTCTGGGTTAAATGAGAGCTAAAGGGAATACATCAAATAAACACTTTACATCAGCTGTCATGTTTAAATGAGAACTGATAATCTAGGTGACAAACATCCTATGACTCCCACTGACACTTAAGAATTTGGTAAGTGAGAAAACTGGAGATGACTAAAATATTTAAAAAACCACAAGCATAATTTACATCATACCAAGTGGTCAACAGTCATTAATGTGCTTTTCAAAACAGTTGATGATTCACTATGCAGTGGTGTAAAGCACATTTACTCAAGTACTGTACTTAAGTAGAATTTTGAGGGACTTAAGCCTTCCCATTTTTTGCTACTTCGTACTTCTACCGCACTACAAAAAATAGGAAGAGGTAAATAGAGCTTAATAGTGTGCTTGTACTCCACTACATTCCTCTTGTTAATTTGCAGATTTGGATTAATGATATTCATTTGAATCAACACTTTAATAAGACTTTAGTTACGCCTGGAGTAAATCCACAAGCTACCTTGAACTATACAAAGTCATTCAAACTAGCTGCACCTTTACTATCTTTGATAAACACATTAATGCATCAATAATTATTATCAAAACACATGATATATATAATTCTGAAATGGGCCAATCTGCATAATGAGTATATTTTGATGCCAATACTTTTGTACTTGCACTTAAGTAAGATTTTGAATGCAGGACCTTTTCTTTTAGAAGGGTATTCCTGCTCTGTTAGTTTTACTTAAGTACAACATCTGAGTACTTCTTCCACCTCTGACACTATGTTCATAAAGGTTACATCTCAGGGTTAACTGGGATAGCTAAGTGACGTTAGCTCACTGTCTCACTAGATACAACAACGTTATAAACAACATGAGGATTTCATTGTTTGACAAGCCACAGAGATGTATTTTCTTGGTGACCAGCTGACAAAACCAGGTGGAGCCACACAACCACTTTTAATCTGAAAAGATTAACATTTTAAAAGCAGTGTGAATGAAGGCGGCTCATGGTTAGCATCATGAATGACACAAGCCAGTCCGACCCTCTCTTTAACAGCTAAAGAAAACGTATTTCTTGAGTTTAATTTATACAACTTCAAGTATTTCCACCGCTTTCCTACCGATTTATATGTAAAATAAGATTGTAAACATCATCTTTGTGCTCACCTTGACCAATGATACCAAGCTTCCTCTCAAGGCGGACGCCATCGTTACAGTCACGCAGCAACTGAGCTTCTTCTTCGGTGGTGCCGCACTGGTAGAGCTGCAGTCTGCAAACGAGTCTGCCTCCAAGTGGACAGAGGAGATGTTGCTTCACGACATTTCTGCAGACCAGAAAGCAGTTGAAAACCGGTCCTCAATTTACATGGCTTTCACGGCCTTCAAGCATTAACATATGCTTCAAACTGAGATTAAAAATGCATGGTCCTTGTTCAATAAAGACAATAAAAACATATTGACACAGTCTTATTACATAGCCAGTCTTGGCCCAAAATCCCCATGCCATGGACTAAAACATAGAAAACAGCTGAGCTTTGAGAAATGAAAAAAGTATTGAAATACCAACACAAATAAAAAGCTTCAAACCACTGGTGAACAGGAACTAAGTAATCTACATTTACTTAACTACTGTACAATTTTGAGGTATTTGTATACTACTTTATATGAGTATTCCCATCTTCACAAAGACACACAGACATACTATTTTAGTTCAAACGCTAGAGGTTGAATTGTACTAGCCCAATCTCATACATCAGCAATCTCCAACAGGAAAAGCATCATTACACATAAGCCGGAAATGTTGTCTGTAAACCCTATTGCTAATTCAATTCTCTTTTGAAATGTTTTCACAGTAATTATGAGTTGTGATAAGTTTGAAAAGCAGGTTAAAGGAGATTTGCAAACTGAATATGAAGACAGATAGAAATGTGTGGGGAAGAAAAGGTGAATAATTAACAGATGTGTCCAAAATAGGAAAACCTGACACTGTTATGCAATACAAAAATGTTGCAGAAAATGTAAACAAAACTGTTCCCTTCATTTTAAATGATTCAGGAGGCCCAAAGCTAGAAAATCCCCCTGGAACATTGTCAGGATTATGTTTCTTCGTGTTTTGTGTCAGAGCTTTTGTTGAGCTGAACTCAAGGGGGCTCAAAAAGTAGTAATGACCCTGTCCACCTTTATGTTAGGATCAGGATGCACATGTTGCCAGTCACTTACAAATCCCAATGTGTTACCAACTGCGTATAATATATGAACATGTCTTATTACTGTCACATTATATCTGCTGCTGTCATGGCCCCAGTCTAAGGGTCCATTCATAGGTTAGGGGATTCCCAAACCTATTCCAGGCAGGTGATGCTCTTCGGTGACACACAGGAGGACACCATGAAACTGTAGATCTGTAGGCTAACCTCAGACACTTAAATAATCCCCCTTACCTTATTGGGAATTTCAATTCATTATTTGCATAGCTATTTCTTTTTTGGGGCAAAGTGGGGCATATCATAATTGGTGGAAATTATGCCCTGAGCCAGGCCTCTCAGGCAGCCCCCATTAGAAATACCCAGTGTCTTTTAGTAAATGTTTGTATCTAAATTATATTTGTACATACAGTATAAACACATTATAATAAGATGTTTAAAATAACATGTGAGGATTTACATTTCTTTAAATCTAGGATTTATGTCTTCACAAAGAAAATGAACTCTTAGTAGACCAAAATATTATGATATAAGCTACGCATGATAAGCACAAACTAGTGTTACATATCCGACACATCCACTTTGATTGGTGGAGCTTAATAATTAGAATTGCCTTGGAGCCTGAAAGACCGTATTTAGGGATAAATCGTCGCAGTGACAGCAGCCGCAGCGTAGTTTGTGAGTTTACTATATAAGGGCAAAGCGAGGTACAGAGGAGCTGCACTCGCTTCCGTGTTTGTGTGATCAGGGAGTGCTCAGCCGGGGAGCTTCACTGTTTCATTCATTTGTGAAGAGCTACGTTAAGCAACTCACCAGCAGGGAAAATGCCGTATGAACTGAGTAAGTATGTTTTATATCAATGGCAATAGCGGAGAGAAAATGCAAGAAATCTCTTTATTTTTGGCGACATTATTCAGCTGATCGAGCTAGACAGACAGGCAGCTAGCTAGCCTCGCCCATTAGCTGCATGATTTTGACACTTCATTTTGCGTACTAAAGAAAGACAAAATCCAGACATTACCACTTATTTGTTCACGTTAAACATACACACGTGTCTGATAATCAAGGTTTTGCTGTGGAGCTGCTCTGGCATACATGTGCAGTGTATTACATGCTGTTCCTTTCAGTTAGCTTTAGCTAGTGGAGCTAACGTCAGTGAGAGGAAATAGTTGTGCTGCTCATTGTTTTGACATGTCCAGACAGAGCTGGCTGACAGGATCTCTGCTGGGGAAGTGTCTGAAGCTCACAGGCACAGGGTGTGTGGGTGCTCAATAAGCCTGAAGTTAACAATTTTAGCTCTCATTTTTATGTCAAGATGGTGGAGATTATATTCCAGAAAACAGATTTAAGGGAATGCGGAAGCACAATAAATGCACTTTTTTTGTTACAGCTTTCCTAGTTTAGGTAGCGTTTTGGTGTTTACCTACTGCTCATTTTTCTTTTGTGTAAAACAGAAACTCATGTATGTATGTATGTATGAATGAATGATAATTATAACAGTGACAGTGTGCTTTCTTTTTAGGATATAAGTGAATAACCCAAACAGTTCATATCCACACAACAAATCAACATTAACTACTCACTTTTCAATAATAATCTTGTCACAATATGATGATAATACCCCAAAAGATGAGTCACAGTTTCAAGTAATCTATTTATGTCCTCCTTTTTTTTCCACACAGGATAACATTGCTATATATTAATTATAGCATTTTTACCATCTTTTTTCACCTTTTTATTTAACTTCTTATTGAACATGAGGCTCAAGACATTACGTTTTTAAGATGATTAATGATCTGAATTAGAAGAACATTGTGATGGATGATTAACTCTGCTTACTCATATCCTATCTGAGAAGATATTAGTCTTGGCGCTGCAAGATTTTAGGCTCTATTAACTCATAAAGCCCTAGATGTACAATGTAATTACATTCCCGCAGATAATCCCTTATGGAATAGTAAAGCTTAATCCTATTTTTACATTTGTATTAACCTAATGCTTTACGTTATCTGTCGGACATCTTTCTCATCATGTCTTTTCTTTATAGAACATGTGTTCGCCAGTCTCCCACAGATGGAGAGGGGAGTCGCAAAAGTGATTGGTGGCGATCCCAAAGGCAATAACTTCCTGTATACCAACGGGAAGTGTGTCATCATCAGGAACATTGAAGTATGTTTATCTTTTTTAAAGCTTTATTTAACAAGTATTGCATGCTTGTGTATTTTATTTTACAAATCTGGGCACTTTTATGGCCATTTTTGCCTAAAAGGCATGATAAAAATATTCAATTTGACTGAATTCTGATCATGATATTTATAAAGAGCAAGATGACGCTAACCTGAAAAGGATCTTTGTTAGCGCACAGTGTAGTGGCCAAAATCATATAGAAATGAATGCGCTTATTCAAATGATACTCTACTTGGTCAGCCAACACTGTCTTGCTGAATTGGTTTCATACAGGGCACACAATTGGCACAGCTTCTGTCCAAATGAGGGTAAACTAAGCAAGGGCCAATAGTTGTTTGCACCACTCATGATCCAAAGATCACCTGTAAACTGTAATCTAAATATATTACCTAAATCCATTTGAACAGTGGACACAATAGGTAATATTTTGGCACTGTTTGCATATAAAGAATGGTTTTGCTCTTAAACACAAAGTGCATAAGGTAATACCTGATGCCTCATTTGCCACCTGCCTCATTTACCACCTGCCACATTTACCACCTGCCACCCATGGCACTATATATATCAGGCCACAATGGCACAGTCAATGGAGTGTTGATTGTTGCACCTTTAACCACACCTTTGGGTGATGTCAGGGTGTATTCAACAACAGCAAGGGGAGAGAACACTGGAGGTCAGAAAAGATTACCTTGTATTCAGTTATTCAGAAGACTAACTAAGAGTTTTGGAAACAAGTTTATATTCTCATCAGTACTTTTTGATTAAGGGTTTAGATGAAAGCTTTTAACTGAGCAATTATTAAAATGTGTGTGTGATCACTCACATTATGACAACTTGTTCCAACAAACACAATCTTAGGGTTGCGTCAAGTTAAAATGCTGTATCCCTTTTTAAATCTCCCCAATTAATCTAATAAGAACAATATTATTAGAAGCAAGAGCAGTGATGGCTTAACTCTGAAAAGCATGTCCAGGTAAAATAAATGCAACATAATTTTCTTTTGACTGTTTTAGAAGAAAGGCCTCACGTGTTGCAGACTTGCTGATGTGTCTCATTTCCTGTTTTTACAGAACCCGGCCATAGCAGACATTTACACCGAACATGCCCACACAGTTACTGTTGCCAAGTATGCTCCCAGCGGATACTACATTGCATCTGGAGGTAAACACTCAATTCATTAACACGTGTCAACTAATCTGTGTATATTGCAACCACATTCATTTGAATACTAAGGCTGCATGATGTATCTATAAATGTGATGACATCTACAACCCCCCCTGACCCTGACTTCTTGTCGTGTCATCACCATTCATATCCATAAAATGAACGCGTTTGAGATTAAATTATTTATAAGCGCACAGAACTGTTTGTAATAGCAAGCACTTGTTTATCTAGCCTCTCAAAGTGCACCAGATTGATGCAATATTCTTTAAAGTCTTAATATCTGATATTTCTCTATTTTCTATTGCAATATATTTTCTGTTATTTCAGTTTTTACAAAGTTGTGCAGCCTTATTTCTTTTAATAAAATTATTTCATTTATTTTTTATTATTTTAGATGCATCAGGTAGGATCCGTATCTGGGACACCACCCAGAAGGAGCACCTGCTAAAGTACGAGTACACCCCGTTATCAGGCAAGGTCAAGGACATTGCATGGACCGAGGACAGCAAGAGGATCGCTGCTGTTGGGGACGGACGAGAGAAGTGAGTATGAGGATCTAATCTTATAATCTGAATCACACTGCATCTGTTGGCATGACCCGGCTGGTGAAGCTCAGTGAGGCAGTGGTTGTGTGTCGAATTGTTGGCGTCACTGAAAAGTCACACTTGTATTGCATTAGTAATA